AGCCGCCGCCGAGAAAGCCCTGGCCCTGGTTGCAGCCAACTTGATGTCCTTGGGGCCTGGAACAACCAATAGGTGTTGCGCCCCTGACCGTATTTCTCCTCTTTTTTCCTCCTCTTTTAAGTGTTAAAGGGTTGGAAATCCCATTAAGCGAAGATGGGATTTTAAAGGATTACGAAATTCGAAGGACTGATCTTCTTTGACTCTGCATAGCAATTCGGTAACACAATCCTAAATTCTCTCATCTTAATCTCTGGAGTGATTGAAATACCCTGACAAATGGGCTTCGCGTTTTCTTCGACCCTAAACCTTCGTTGTTCTTCTTCTGATTTTAGAAGAAATTAAAACATTTTTTGGACCCCTGAAAGCATTGTGGGCCTAAGGCACTGTGCCAAATGGATGTCAGCCATACCCACACAGTCCTTTTCAGAAGCATTCCTGACCTAGATTTTCGGTGGAAATACAAACCAGGTCACACGGTCCTTTCTCGGATCAACTTTTCTGGGCAAAGTCTACAAACTTTCAGGGTGCACAGAACCAGCAGGAAGCTAGCTGTACACAGCCTATCCAGAACACCACTTTATAAGAAATAAGAACATAAGAGAAGCCAATGTTGGATCAGGCCAATGGCTCATCCAGTCCAACACTCTGTGTCACACACTGGCCAGAAATACCAGGGGCCATAAGGAGGTCCAGCAGTGGGACCAGGACTCTAGAAGCCCTCCCACTGTTCCCCCCCACCCCAAGCACCAAGAATACAGAGCATCACTTGCCCCAGAGTTCTTATCTATACCCCTGGAAGCCGTCCATGCTTGTAGCTGCCACCACCTCCCATGGTTATAGTTCCAGCAAAGACGGTGATTTACCTGTGTTTAGCCTAGGGGTACCAACTCTGGGTTGGGAAATACCTGGAGATTTTGAGGGTGGAACCTGTGGAGGGTGTCATTTCGGAGGGGAAGGGCTTCAGTGGGTACAATGCCATATATAATGGGGTCAGGAAGCAATTTTTCTCCAGGCCAGTTTGTCTGGAGATCCTGGAGGTTTT